AAAAAAAGGAAAAAAAAAGTTAAATACATAGCTTTGAAAAAAAAAAAAGAAAGCTCGGCCCTTGCGAAACTCGATGGAGCACAGGGGTCTCCCTGAATTGGAATCGGCTCCGAGACAACTGGCTTGAGCACATCGCTGGGAAGAACCTCTGAAGGGAAGGCAAGTTTCTGTTCCAAACCCTCAGGCTACGTCTCAGTTGGGAAATGCAGTGTCCACAAGCATACGCCAACATCAAAAGCATTTTGAGCCCTCTTCATGCTTCTCCACCGGAGTGGGGTTTCCGCAAGTGAGCTGGGGCTGGGCAAATGGGAGTTTTGCAATGTTTGTGGGTTTAGGCATGAGGACTTTGTTCTATTGACATTGGTAGTCCAAGAACCCCTTGTCAACCAGAAACTGCATGGAAGAGCTATAAGAATTACCTTTTTGTTCAGTTCCTTCTAAATCAGGTGGCCTAACCTTGGAAGAAGTAGAAGTTGGACATGAAAAGCCTTAACATAGGGGCGCAGCCGGAAAGGCAACCACCCCCTCACCTGTCTTGTACCACACATTTGTGGGAAACCTGGTGCTAAACATTCATAGACAACCTGCTTCTGGGCTGGGGTGTCGTATGTAGCAGAGCAGCTCTCTCACTGCAATCTACTGAGAGTCAAAAATGAAAGATACAAGTAATAAAAAAGAAAAGGCCTTAACAGAAGCCCTGCTTTCCAACATGGTTGTTGATTAAAGCCCAGGACTTCCCTCCACCTCCAGCCCAGTCCATAGAGGCACAGCATGGGTTAGGCCAATGGGCTGTTAACCAGGTCAGTAGTTCAAAACTACCAGTCACTCATGGAGAAACACAGGCTTTCTACTCTCAGAGATTTACAGTCCTAGAAACCCATTGGGCTGCCAAAACTTCAAAAGATGAGGTCTCAGTTCCTGTAAAGATTTAGTCACAGAGCTGCAAAGAGACAGTTCTCCTGTGTCTTATACGGTCACTTTGAGTTGGAATCAGCCTGATGACAGTGGCTTTGTGTTTGGTGTAAAAGTTCGGATGGACTGGAAGCAATTGCGTCTGCTTCTCAAATCGCTTGGTGTGCTTCGGGAAGAAAAGCCTCTTTACAGCTGGAGAACTTTGCCATGGTGAAGAAGCAAGCTGGAGGATAAGGGGCTGCGAGGTATTGTTTACAGGCCAAACTGGGGCATGGTGATTCCCTTTGAGTCAGAGTAGAGCTATGCTCCGTAGAGTTTTCAATGACTGATTTTGGGGAAGTCAGACACCCAGACAGCTTGAAAGACGAGCAGCCAGAATACACTTTAGAAGGAAGGATGGTGAAATGCCATCTCACTTACTCTGCACACATTAGAAGGGACCGATCTCTGGAAAATAGATTCATGCTTAGCAAAGTAGAGCATCATGAAAAAAGGAGACTTTTCAATAAATTGAATTGACCCTGGCTGCATCGATGGGCTCAAACCTACCTTACCATCGCGAGGAGGGCGCCAGACCAGGCAACACGTCATTCTGTAGTACACAGGAGTGCTAGGCACCTGGAGAACATCTAACAGTGGCAGAGTATTAGATCACAGATTGAAGAGCATGTCTAGTGTTACTCCTCAGCACTTTATTCTTTGCTTTTAGATGACGACGCCTCGTCTGTAAGTCATAAACCAAAGTTTGAAATATCTTAGAAATAGTATTGGCAAGTCAGTAATCTTCTAATTGTTTCAAATACCTTCCTACATCTGCCCCTTGTTTTTTAGACATATGCAATGCTTGCAAGTTTATTCTAAGACTAGTATAGATAGCATGTCCTGTGTCCTCTTTATCCTTCCAATAGTTCATCCCTTTCATCTCTGAAAACTCAAGGTCACAACTGCCTGTTACTTTCCAGCCAAAATGTTTCATCACTCACAGTGGGCCTCTTAAAGCTCCTCTGCAAAACAACAGGAGTCAACAACTGGAGCAAGCTCAGGGACATGGGAAATCGTGCAGTTCCCAGTACAGGAATGGTAGGTAGTTCCTCTATACAGAGTCATTCCTGTGTAAAAATGGAAGTTTCTCGTAGATTCCTTAGTTCACCACATCCCAGCAAATTGTCTTGAATCAGCTAATATCAAGATCCAAGACAGGAAGGGGGACAATGTAGAGCAGTGGTTCTCAACCTTCCTAATGCCGCGAGCCTTTAATACAGTTCTTCATTTGGTGGTGACCCTCCAACCATAAGATTATTTTCGTTGCTACTTCCTAACTGTCATTTTGCTGTTATGAATCAGGCGACCCCTGTGGAAGGGTCGTTCGAGCCCCAAAGGGGTTGAGACCCACAGGTTGAGAACCACTGGTGTAGAACATAATTTCAAATTCTTATAGAAACCACACTTTTTTAGAATCATAGATACAGGAATAAACTCCCCAAAACTGTTGATCCAGAAACCGTAATATTTAAACCTTAAGCCAAAAATATCTCCTGGAGTCTTCTTATAAATTAATAACAGTTTAGCTTCCCTGTAACAAAGACTGTCTTGTCTTGAGCATGAGGAGTCCTGGCGATGTAATGGTTACAAGTTGGACTGCTAGCTGCATGGTCAGAAGTTCATAACCACTAGCGGCACTGCAGGAGAAAGACAGGACTTTCTATTCCCATAAAGAATTCCGGACTTGGAAACTCACAGAGGCAGGTCTACCCTGTCCGCTTCGGCATGGACCTGATGGCAGTAGTGAGTGTGGGCATATGGTCCAGTGGACAGCAGCAGTTCAAAAGGGCAGGAGCCTTAGGGGACAGTAAGTTTATGTTCGTGGGGGAGGAGCAACTCAGAAAAAGACCCGTTACTCACAACTGGAAGAATGTTAAGGTTGAAATCCTACATATTTTGTTGTGTGTTTTCTCAACAGCGGCAAATAAATACATGCCATTTTTAAAAAGAAATCAAGCCGGTATCTTCTGGTACTTTTCTCCCCACCCCACTCCCATGCCTCTAATTAGAAAAAAAATCATGGTCAAGTCAATTCTGACTCACAGTGGCTCTGTAGGATGAGAAGTGTTTTCAGTCACTTCATATGCATGTGAAAGCTTTACGAAGAATTGATGCATTTGGATTGTGCTGGTGCGGATTATTTAAAGTACTACGGACTGCTGAAAAACCCCAACAAATCTGTCTTAGGAGAAGAACCACTAGAATGCTCCCTGGGAGCAAGCATGGGAGACCGGTCTCCTGTACTGTGAACATGTGATCAGGAGAGACCAGTCCCTGGGTAACGTAGCGGGCAGTGAAATAGAAGCCCTTTGACAAGAAGGGTTGACACAGTGGCTGCATTGATGGGCTCAAACATGAGAACAATTGTGAGGATGGCGCAGGACCAGCAAAGTGATCGCTTTGGGAAGCAATTCGGCAGCACCTAATGACAACAATGACCATTTGCCCTATGGCTCCTTACTTAGAGACTCTTAAGGAACTCCCCAAGAGCCTCAGCACCAGACAGACCCACAGAGCTTGCAGACAACATGAGCCCAGACAAGTCATAGCCCTCTCTCCTCTTTGAAACAAAGATGCTGAAGCCCTGGGTTATGGGAAAATTAGGTTTTCTCTTCTTCAGATTCTTTGGTCATCATTTTTCCTTCATCAGTAACTTTTCCTGTCGGTGCCACCCCGGGTCCACTCTCCACAGGGTCGCAGACAACATGACCACTAGAAACTGAAAACCCCTGAGTGGACTGGTCCCCTCAGTCTTCCCCACATACATTAACAGACACATCGTGAGTCGGCATGTGCTCTTCTAGAACCTGGAGTAGAAAAATGACCTTATTGCCGAGCTACCGCCTTGGTGTTTTAGATTCTAGACTTGCCTTCTAGCTATTTGGGTTAAAAAACTATCATGCAGTTTTCCTGAATGAAAAACTTTTAGCAAATGGTGAGTGCTTACTGTTTGCTGGGAAATGAATGGGGAATAAGGAAGCTTTGCATTCAAAGAAGGCTTGAGGCAAACATTTAAGTCTAAATTTGGCCTGTGACCCCCCTTACCGTCAACAATAGAAGACAAGAACCTAGTTCCTGTGGCTGTAGCTTACATGGATATGTTTGATGATAATATTTTGTGGATATGGGCTCTGGATATTATTTCGCTTGAGAAATGTTAACTTTCTCTTGTGTTCAAGAAACCACCCTGCATCCTTATTATCTGGCTTATAGGATATGATTTTACCAGTAAGATAAGATTCTGACTTTTAAATGAATGTTGACTTTAATCCCATGAAAGCAGAGAAGGGTGAGTTGGGAGTCTGAGCACCTTCCCATTCAGTAGTTAAACCCAAACCCATTGCTGTTGAGCCAATTCCAACTCATAGTGACTCTGCAGGACAGGGCAGAACTGCCCCTTTGGGTTTCCAATGCTATAAATCTTTACAGGCGTAGAAAGCCTCATCTTTCCCCTATGGAGAGGCTGGTGGGTTTGAACTGCTCACCTGTGGTTATCAGCCCAATGAATAACCATCTGTGTTACCATGGCTCCTTAGAGGCCAGCTTCGGTGGTTTACTTTTCCTCCTTTTCCAATTCATGTTTCTTCTTTTGCAGGGTCTGTGGTGGGAACTGTACAGGAGGTGGATGTAAGCCCATGCCCCAACCAGCCATGCCAGCTGATCAAAGGACAGTCTTACAGTGTGAATGTCACCTTCACCAGCAGTGAGTACAAGGACCATCACATTCATCCTAAAGCTTAAGTATAGTGAATGACTGTGGGGTGTGAGGAAGGGAACTGACCGGTAGGGGTTCTGTGAGCTCCCAGCCTACCCACACAAAGCTGAAGTTCACACCTTCCTTATACTGGGTTCCCAAGTGTTAATATCCCACAATCCATGGCTAGCCAGACTCCAACTAAGCCAACCGGAAGATTTCCTTGTTTCCACAAGTTCGAGACAGGAGCTTGGCTTGTCTCTGTGCTGTATTGTTCTCTTGCACAGCAAGTTTCTTCGGGAATATCACTTTGCAGACCCCAATACTTTAGACTTTGGGACACCTCCAGAATGTTCTTTCCAGCAGTATGCCTTTCAGCTATTGAACCTGTAATCTGCCTGAACCTACAGATGCATTTAATACTTCACAATTTCTGTCAGGTTTAGGAAATATGCTGGGGAGCCAAGAAAAATTCAAGAGATCTGAGCTTTCTTCTTAAACTTAAATATTGTTAGAACTTGTTGTTGCTTTCTTATACTGTATCTATCACTTTCAGATTCCCAAGACCGTAGACAACTGAGGATGTTTATTCCTGGACAGTCCATCTGTCTTGAATCCTTCCCTTATTTTCTATCCCGTGGAAGTAGATACACCATCTGATAGGAAATCTGGAAGTTCCTGTCTTCTCTTAAGCTTAATGACAACTTCTGAGTTATAGCAAGGCTCCTCTGTTCTCCCCGAAATTGTCCTTGTCAAATAAAATCATCCCCCAACCCAGAGAGAAAGAAAGAAGCAGAGTGGATACTCAAACCGTGCATAACTCTGGTGGCCCTAATTTTACTATGCCTAATTCCTTTTTCCATCTTGTGACTTGCCAGGTGGAAGTTAAGCCTCTTCCTAGTCTTCCCCAGTTTCTAAAGGTTTTACTTCTTTCCCCATGGTTAGAGCCGTGACGCTTCTCGGAGGACTCCTCATCGCATCTTTTTCCATGTCGCCTGTCAGTGGACTCCTCTGGAACAGGGCATTTGAGAATTCAGACACCAATCTTCTGAAACTCTTTAAGAGACACAGTACACTTTGACAGAGCTCTCTCACTAACTCGCTGCCATCGAATTGATTCTGACTCTAAGGATCCTACAGGACAGGGTAGAACTGCCCCTTTGGGTTTCTGAGACTGTAACTCTTTATGGCAGTGGAAGTCCTCTTTCTCCCATGGAGAAGCTGGTGGTTTCAAACTACTGACTTTGTGGTTAGCAGCCCAACACGTAAACACTGCGCCTCCACTTTGACAGAAGCCTGATAAAAATTCACTGTCAATGATTAGTGACCTTGTTGGATAAAGTTATTTATCCAGGTAACTGGACTGCAGGAGAAGTTCTAGAAGTCAGTAAAGAACAAAGAAAAAAGACTCCTCCCCCTACTGGCACCCCTCATCCCCCCAATTCAATACTATTTCAATTGTTAAAAGTGAATGTTGGGTCTGCACTCAGTGCTCAGCATAACTACAAAGGGAAGCAAACCTTGGGAATCAAGAGGGGGCGGTGTGTGTGTGTGTGTGTCTGTCCCCGCTCTATGGCTGGAGAATATATCTGAATGTTTTATTAGCGTTTGGAAATCAGCTGTGCCCCTTACCTCTGCCCCCCTGTGTCTCGTTCCCCTTCTGCAGAGACCAGCTCCAATAACAGCACAGCCGTGGTGCATGGCATTGTGCTGGGCGTCCCCCTGCCCTTTGCCATCCCTGTGTCCGACGGCTGCAAGAGCGGCATCAGCTGCCCCATCCAAAAAGGAAAGTGCTACAACTACCTGAATAAACTCCCGGTGAAGAGTGAATACCCCTCCGTAAGTGAGATGGTTGTTGAGGACCCCTGTTGCCCTACAGTGGGTTCACAGTGCCAGGAGAGATGGGCCAGGAGTACAGATTGGGACGAAGGCCGCCTGAGGCAGAGGAGAAAAGGAGACATGCTTGGTGGAAAGGAGTCACACAGTAGGGCAGATACTTTTTGTTGTATCCGTTTTCACTTTGTGAAACTCCCTACCTTCAGTCAATGCTGATTCATAGCGACCCCGTGTGGGTTTCCGAGATTGTAGCGGTTTACAGGGGTAGAAAGCTCAGTCTACTGATATTTACATTACGATTCATAATAGTAGCCAACTTACAGTTATGAAGTAGCAATGAAAATAATTTTATGGTTGGTGGTCACCACAACATGAGGAACTCGTCGCGGCATTAGGAAGGTTGAGAACCACTGGCCTAATGGTGAGCCTCAGCCTAATGAGGCCATTTTTACTTATACTATCCCTGTTTTTCAAATGAAGAAATTTGAATCCTAGAAGTTACACAATATAGACGGAATCTGCTCCCCTAGTAACTATCACAGCCCATACTCAGAGCTGGGCCTGTGACTCCGGCCTGCAAACAGTTGTCTATAGTTGGCTCTTACGAAACAACTAGTTAATGTTTTTCAAGTGAGTTGATGTTTTGTTTGAAAACCAACTCCACCTATGTTAATGTAAGCACGAGTGGAAACTCGTCAATGTGAACTGGCTTCTTGAAAGAGTTTTGAGAAGCATTATCACTCAAATGTGTCCTAAAGAAGCAACAAGAGAAGTAGGGACTAAAGACAAGCAAGTTGATGTCCACATGAGAAACTCTAGACGAATTGGAAGGGACAGCCAGGAGTAGGGGTGTTATAAGTCAAGGTAGCGATCTACAATGAGATTCATTGTTAGAAAGTAGTTTCAGGAAGTTCATGGAACCTATATGGCCACATCGGAGTGTTCTCACTGACATGATCCGTCACGTGGTGAAATGCCTTTAGACCATGCTTTATGGTTTGGCAGTTTTCTGTTGTCAGTGAGCTGCAAAGTTTCTTTCTAGCTAAGCACCCAGCCTTGTCACGTGCTGCTTTTCGTGATCACTGCCGGAAGCACTGACTCTTGTGTGCCAGGCACACTGGAAATTGTTTGAATGTAAATGTTTTACTTACCGTTGTCTGAGAGAAAAGAATGCTTTAGAAACTGTATTTGGTAAGGTAATCTGGTTAGTATTTGGCTCTAACGCCCATATCATAGCTATAACTTGGTTCACCCTCTTTATTCTTGGGGCCATAGCTCTGCCCACATCCTAACTAAGCTTGATGACGACATGACTTAAACAGAAAGCTAATGAGAGGTTAGGCACTTGATTAACCATCTGCAACCAGGATTCCTACTTAGACGAATTCTGGATTGAGGCTAGGTTCTATTTTCTTATTCCCTACTTTTTCTCGCTCTCCAGATAAAGCTGGTGGTGAAGTGGGAGCTTGTGGATGACAAGAAGCAGTCTATCTTCTGCTGGGAAATCCCACTGGAGATCACGTCCTAGAGACCCGGGTGCCAACTGTCTGTCTGGGCCTGCGAGGGCACCGATGGGAGAGGAGGAGGGGAGTGCAAGTGAAGTCGAATTTAACACGAAATTGGTGCCAGAAGATGAAAGAGAGTTCCAGACTGCTATTTTACGCCTCTCAGCCTCCCACACCATCTAAGAGCTCAGAATGATTGCCCTTTTGTGAAACTGTTTGGAGGAAAGACAAGAGATGAGACTGTCGGACCAAGGGATTGGTTAGTTGTCTCCACTGCGTTTTGCAGGGAGGGTGCAACCAGGTCAAACCTGAGGAGATTGCTTGGGCCTCTCGGATAACTTGCTCTCAGGCTGGTGACTCTGACTTGTAGGACAGCTCCCAAACCACATCTGTCCAGCTGAGATAGCGCTTCTGCACATTCTCCAAGTGCCTCCATCAGTTCTTTGCATCTGGCCAAATCAGCAGTCGAGCTCCATCGTTTGCCCAGGTGTGACCTGCCCTCGCTTTCCCTGCAGGGCGCTTTACCACGGGAAGTCAGTGCTGGCTGGCCGATGCTTGGTGGTGAGCTCCTGTCTCCTTCTCTGGCTTAGATGACTTTTTGAAAAATTGATTATTTGATTTTTATTTTTTTAACAGCATTAACTTGTGTCTCTTTACACATCTAGAAATGTACCTTTGAATAAAACCTACTTGTCAGTCCTGTTTTCTGCCTCTGGGCTGTAGTCACCGGCTTCTGTTCCTGAGCATATGTCTCTAGGTCCTGGAACACACTGACTTTCAGGAATCCTCCCCTCCCCCCAGTTCACCTAGCTAATAACTGCCTGACTTAAGTATTTTACACCAAGTGACCTTCTATTTTGGACAGTTTTATAACGTACCCATAAGGGGGCCTCAAAAAGTGTGGGAAGATTGAATGAAAAGATCATGGAGATGCCTGGGATAAAGTTGGGTTGGGTTGGAAAAGCCTCAGTTAAACAGGACAGGCAAACCATCCGCATGTGGCCATGCTGATCCTCAGTAGGAGGCCAAAGCGGTGTCCCAGGGTTCATGCCTCTGTGGCTGATTAGAGAACACAGAAAATGAAATTCGCCAGGAAATTGTGATGGGCAGCAAACCAATTCCTCACTGTCCCCGGTGGCTCTACGGAAGGGGGAAAGGGAGTCTGTGATACTTACACTATTGCAGATTAGAAAAGCCTACAGGATTGTTTCTGGGGCCCTCCAATCGGCTTGGTCAGGGTATGACTCCTGGCCATGCAGCTCTGCTACCCCAACCTCCAGTAAGATGACACCCAAGCAGATTCCACAGGGCAAAACTACCCATTCCCGGGCTGACCCACGGAGTTCAATCTACTTTGAAACATTCTGCCGGTGGGCAAAGCATTTGCAATCATTACCAGTTGAATGCCCAGAATGGATGGAGGATGAATTTGTCAAGACTCAACCTGGAACTGGGCTCCCGCTGTCGACCAGAGCCTTGGGAAGAACAGGGGCTTAGAATTTTAGCTTGAAGATGCCATCACCCTTAGTCCTAGCTAAACCCTAGGCTTTAAGACAGTTCTATCCTTTGTTTTTTGTATTCATTTCAAGTAGTGTTTTTAAGAATAGTGTTCTGTAATTGAAATATCACAGGGTACATATGTCTAATATTTTAATCATATAAAGAACTAGGCCTCCTTAGTCACAAGAAGCCCTTGTGGTGTAGTGGTTACATGTTGGGCTTCAATCCTAAAGGTCAGCAGTTCAGAACCACCAGCTGTTGTCTGGGAGAAAAAATGAGGCTTTCTACTCCTATAAAAAGCTACAGTCTTGGAAACAACGGGGCAGTTCTACCCTGGCCTATAAGGCCACTATATGAGTCGGCAGTAGAGAGCCTCATCTTTCTCCGGAGTTGTAGCTGGTGGTTTCAAACTGCTTACCCCGAAGTTAGCAACCAACTCATAACCCACTAGGCCACCAGGGCTCCCAGTTAGAATTAGTGATTAAATGATCCAACCTTGGAATTTTCTACTCTTGAAGCATGCACATAACTAAAGCAGATACTTTGCCATCAACCTTGAATTAATTAGCTGTTAACTATCAGGGATTAGAACCATATTAACAAGTAAGTTGAGTCATATGAACCTTGACCGGTTTAGTTGAGCTAGTAGAGTATGAAGGGAATTGATTGGTTTAGCCCTCTTCATCCCCGTCATTGAACTGAAAAACCACAGAAAACCTGTTGCTGTCAGGTCAATTCTGACCCAGAAGGCAGATTAGAACTCTCCCTGGGGGTTTCCAAACAAAGAAATCTTTTTTGTAGCAGACTGCCGCCTCTTTCTCTTGTGGAGCTGCTGGTGGATCCAAGCCACTGACTGCTCAGTTAACAGGTGTGCACGTAAGCACGCAGCATGAGGGCTCCTTCTCGCTGTGCTATGGAGTGATCTCCAGCCCATAGTGAGCCCTATGTACAACAGAAAGACGTTGCCTGGGCCTGCCCAGCCTCCCAATCACTGCTCCATTTGAGCCCTTGTTGCAGCCCCTCTGTCCATGCATCTGTGTACTTAGACCCTGGGACTTCTTTGCTTGCGAGTTTTTGAGGAAAACCACCAGGGGTCAGCAATAGATCAGGAATAAAGTGCTCAACAGCCAAGCCTTGTCAATTCCTGGCACCACTAATAGTACTAATAGTAATATGACATTATTTCTAGAAGGACAGCCCACTCACTACACACCTGACCCTAGATATATTAGAAGAGTGTGCATTCCAGGGTTAACAACGTGGCTATTGCCTGCCTGTGGTCTCTGCTTTCAGAATGTCTGAAGTTGAATTCTGACCCCATCAATATCGTAAAACTCCGATGGGATCGTCCAATCACATAATCTCTGTGATTCCGTCTCTGCCCCAAGAGAGCCCTCCTGTCATTGAGTGCCTTTGTGGGTAGCAGCTCCCTGGCCCCACGTCGCCCAGATGTGGTCCAAGAAGACGGTGAAGGAACGCAGTTGGAGTGCACAGCCCCCCCATCAGAGCAGCAGCAGCAGAATGCCACAGCTGCTGACTATTTACCAGCCATCTCGTGGCTCCGTGGCACCTGCGGAGGGGAGCTAGGTGAGGGCTCCCGTGAGGGGGATTACTTTGAAAGGTCATCTTCGGTACAGACAGTTCCCCAGCATCCCTCCGAGGCATTAAATCATCAAGAAGCAATGCGTCTTAGGCTATTTATATAAAAAAGGTCATGCTCTTTCCGACAACCATCCCATGCTTTCCTAGTCCACGGAGCAAGCTGTGGTGACTTAGCCTCCTCTCTTCTTGCATGAATGCCAAGGCAGGTGGCTGTGTGAAGGCAGGTGGCTGTGTGTTCCGCTTACAGGACACCAGGGACCCTGCCCCTCGCCTACCCTCCTGCCCCCCCTCTCCCCCTGCCCCTGTGGGTGTGAGGCCTACTACTGAGGCACATGGTTATATCAGTAAGAGGCAACGCTCATGGAGTCTTTCCACATCCCCTATGCATTTTTGCTTTTGAAATCTCAGTGGGTTGTTTTAAAGATACAGGTTCATCTTATAATGCCTTGTAAAAAATCAGTTACAAAAAACCCCACTGAAGTACAGTCTATTCTTGCTTGTCGACGCTCACTAGCGGGGATGGGGAACATTTTTTCTGCCAAAGGCCCTTTGGATATTTATCACATTGTTCGGGGGCCAGACTGGTCAAACATTGAGTGAACGCATCCCTAATGTGAAGGCTGGGACGGCTTCTCCTTGGCGCGTCCTGTGATGTAAGCTGGTGTTGATGGCTTCGTGGTCCGTACACAGCCCATGGCCGGACGTTCCCCACCTCTGGTATATAGGGTTTGTAAGGCTTTTGTAAATCTTCATAGGAGCAGACTGCCTCATCTTTCTCCTGAGGAGCCAGTGGTGGGTTTGAACTTCCGTCCTTGCAGTTTGTCATCCAATGCTTAACAGTGCCACCCGGGCTCCTTAAGATAATGTGGAGGTACCAGGGAATGAACCAGGGCTTCGGGGTTTGGGTAGGGGAGAGCCTTATTCTTTGAGTTGATCAAAATATCCCCCGCCCCCGCCCCCCACCCTCTGCCATAGGAAGAGTGGCCTGCACTAGCTGAAAGTTCAGACCCAGAGACCAGGATCTGAGCTTAGTCAAGGCCTACGATGCTTCAATGAGTCCTGGTACGAAGGAAACACATGGGGATGGCGACAAGAACGGGGCTGAGGGATGTTTACCTGGGTTGCTGTAGAGATAATCACCTCCTAGCACGTGTGTTTCCCCGGGGGGCCTTTGGGAGGAACTTAGCAGGAGGGTGGGCTTGGGGTGTCAGTGGGTTAACATGGCCAGCTGAGAGTCTTTAGAGGGGTGGTGTGTGTGTGTGTGTGTGTGTGTGTGTGTTTTATCCCCAAGCCTATCCCACAGACACAAAGCGGAATCCTATTCACTTACAGCTGTCAGTTGACTAGCAACGAAATGGTCCGGGTGTTGGTTGCCATGGAAACAGCTAAAAGGCCCATTGCTATGGGAACCTACCCTGCTCTCCAAACCCAGGGTTTGATTCCTAAAGAGGGGTCGAGGGGGAGGTGGAACCCAGGTGGCCTCTTCCTCCTCCTGGGTCCCAGAAGAGAATGAGTAATTGGCAGTGGCAGGGCGGGTGAGCGGGCCTGGCAGATGGAGGGGACAGTGACCTCTTTTGCTTCCACAGGCGTCCTGGGCCTGTTCTCCGTTTGTTGGGAGCCACGGGCACAGATGTTTATCCTCCCGAGTGGAGAGTTAGGGCAGGGGATTCTGGGCAGACCCAGCGTGTCCTCGGCATGGGGTGCTGAGAGGGAAAGTCTTGGCTCCTCTTTGGCAGACCCTCCTCCATACATCATGTGTCCCAGATAAGCAGCAGGCAGGTAAAAGGATCCGCTTACCTCTGGCTGCCAATGGGTTGGGCAGATAAGGATCCTGGCAAACAAGATGATGGCTGCCGGCCTTGCACATGCTGCGAGTTCTCAGCCAGAAAGCAGAAAAGCAGGCCAACAGCAAGGATCTCTCCTCTCAGCATCAGGAAAAGGGATCATTCAACTCTACCTGTTCTGCCCACCCTGTGCCCCTGCCACGAAAGGGGGTGCTGCGGATGGACCAAGATACTGAAGGCAAGGTTGAATGGCAATGTTCACTGTATGATGGGGCTTGAAGAAGTCTGTAGAAAAACGGAATGGCAAGATCATGGGATTTTCCCACCAATTTTGGGAAGCCCCCTCGGACCTACACAATGGCTGTACGCTTCTTTTCTGTGTTGGTGATCAAGGTAAATAGCATTTTAAATAGTATTTCCTGTAAAGATGACCTTTAACCAAAACAAAGAGGAAAGGGACACCTATTGGCTCTACCATGAAGTACTATTGATGTCTGATGCTTTGATGGAAGGGATTGGACTGGCTGAGCTCTAAAGTCTCTCTTTCAGAATGAATAGCTTGTGCTTTCTTGCAGCCTTGAAGGGAAGTTTGAGCACCGCAGGCTAATCCCAGGGCACAGGCTAATCCCTTTTTTCATTTACTCAGACCTGTGTGGGCAAGGAAACTCCCTGGAGGCCGGAGCAGCTTAGGACAGAGATCAAGCCCAAGGCCTTTGATGGGGAAGCTCGCTCTGGTATATTTGGCTCTGATTCTGCTGGATTCAGAGATGTGTGGTCTCCTAATCTCGTCTTCTGCTGCCCAGAGTCAGTGGTCCCG